TCCCGAGGCAGGAGCGGGGCCCTGGCGCGGTGGAGCTGTGGCACCCTGCTCAGGGCTGCCTTGTGCCCAGCCCCGCCTCGCTGCGGGCTGAGCCCCTTCCCTGTTCCCCCCTTGCACCCCGGGGGGGCTTGAGCCCTTCCCCTCCGCCCTGCAGCCCTTCGTGCCTTCTCTCCCACTGGCTCTGCAGCCCTGATGCCTGCCTGCAGGGCCTCCTTCCCTTTCAGAGGTCCCCCGCGGCCTTTGGTGCGGGTGGCTGGGCTCACCGAGCTCTGTCCCACCTGCCTGGGGGACGGGCGCGGGTGTACTGGAGCCAGGGAAGCTGTCTGCCCCGGAACTCCACCTGGCGCTGGGTTTTTTGGAAGCTGCAGTCTCCTCAGGAGCGTCTCCAATCCTGTTGGGTGGTCCCTGTAATTCCTGCCAGTTTTGCAGGGATGTGCTGGGTAGCAAGGAAGATGGCTGCAAACTATGCTGTTCCTGAACAGCCTGCGAGTCCCCTGGGACTGCAACCCTGGGCTGCGCTACGCAGCTGTGACAAAAGCAGGATCGTAACCAGCCATCCTGTCCAAGCTTAATGGACACCATGTGGGAGATGGTGCCATGAGCAGCACCTTGTGTCTCTGTGTTCTCCAGGGAGAGACGGGTGGACAGGGCAGAGGGTGGCTCCAATCGCCCATCCTAGCGCTTCCTCGGTTGCGCGGACATGCGTGTCTGCATTAGGCAAGATGCTGGCCAACTTCTGTCTTGGAGGGCTCTGCAGTTTGAGGATGCGTCACCATTTCTGGTGTATTTCCATGACTAAACACGAAAATCTGCCGCTCCCTCCTGTCACCCGTTCAGTGAGATGGCCACGCTGAGTGTAAAGCCAGGACAGAGGTTCACCTTGCCCGACTGGCACACCAACTCCCATCTCATCTCGGCTGATGCTGAACGCCAGCGTTCTGCTTCCCACCAAGTCCGGCAGGAAGCCCGAGCTCTCCGCAATGAAACCAACAACCAGGTGAGCCTTCTGGCAGCTTGGCTGCTCCTGGGTTTGTCAGAATAGCGGGCTGAGGAGTACGGGAGAGTGTCTGGATCTCGGTGTATGGACGAGGGAATAGGAGAAAGCCTTAGCTCTACAGAACCTGCTAAGTATGTGCATTTACTTCCTGTAAACCCATGTGCAATGATGCATGTGTGTGCTGTCGTGAAATCCCTGGTGGCGATTCTCACATCCTTTGCAATTTGTATTGTTTTCTGTGCTCTCCATTTGTGTAGATGACTTATCAGACCAAATGGCAACACGTTGTACTCCTGAGAGGGGTCAGTCAATCCTGAAAACAGTGAGAGGCTTCAGCAAGGTTCACAGTTGCAGTTTAAAAAAGGGTAATGGCGTTTCTCCTCTAATTCCAGACTGAATGGGATGAGCATGACAACCGCACCCGCCTAACGGAACGGATCGGCAGCGTGAGCAGATGGAGGGAGACCCTGGACAAATGCCTTGCAGACATAGATGCGGAAATTGATGCCTTAGCCAAAGTATGTTGGGAAGACAGATGGCTGGAAATCAACTTACACTCTCAACATGGGATGTTAAATAATTGAGGCTTGTCTTCTGCAGTGGGCAAGCCCATATGGAGTTTAAGGGGGGCTTATCACCAGTATACTGAGCTCCATTCCTGATGAAATGACTTCCTGGAAAGCAAGCCGCTGCGTTCTTGGCTGAGCCAAGCCGTTTTATGGAGCTGTGCGTTGCATGCCCATGCTTGGGTTTGGGGTTGTGGTTTTTGTTGTGGTGGTGGTTTGTTTCTTTTTCTTTTTTCTTTTTTAAAGCTCTGAAGGATAGTGAGAAATATGTTATCACCATCATTCAAAAATGTTTTATTTTAAATAGAGAATAGTAGTGGGACATTTCTCTGATTCTTTTAGTTCTAAACCCAGAGGCTGCTGCTCCTGGAGTCGTTAGCCCCCAGCAAGGCGTGATTCCCAATGCAGACAGCAGATGTAGAGGACTAATGTGTTTGGGTCTCGCAGTTTTCGTTCCAGGCTTGCTAAAAGGTTTTGGAACTGCAAAGACAGGCAGTGCGAGGCCCTCTTACCAAGGGTATCAGTGGGTTCCCCTTCCTTTCTTCCTCCCACCCCTGAAGGAGGAACCCCCCCCACACTCAGCTGGCTTCTTCCTCCAGGTGAAGGAAGCAGCAGAACGTGCCCTCCAGGCAAAGAACTTGCCTTTGGATGTTTCCATTGAGTGCCTGACGCTCCGGGAGAGCCGCCGCGCCATCGATGTGGTTAGGGACCCTGTGGAGGAGGAGCTGCACAAGGAGGTGAAGGCGATAGACACAGCCAAGAGAGAACTGCAGCAGAGAGTGGACGAAGCCTTCGAACAGCTCTGGTGAGGCAAATGACACAGCTTCTGACCGGACTCTGCCCTCCTTGCTTGGCCCCAGCAGTTTAATTTGCCTCTAATGCCACGCTGAGATGGGCAAGCAGGCCAGGCGTAGTTACCCTGGGGCAGTGAGCCACTCAGAGGAGCCTTTGATGATTATTGTCAAGGTCTATGGAGTTTGGGGGGGTTGCAGGGGAGAGCATGTCAAGGGAGACTTTGTAATCATCCTTGGAAAATTTTGGCCCGGACAGATATCTTGTGCCACCTGCCTCGGCTCGTGGACCAGTGCCCTGGCAGTGTTAAAGCTCCCAGGCCCTCATCCCTCGTGGGTCGCTGCCCCGCTGCAGGAGGGTGGGCGGCTCAGCTCACCAGTCCACTGCCAGAGCAAACGTGGGGGAGCCAGGCAGGCAGTAAAGCGGCTGTGCTGCTTTACCCAGTTGGGCCCAGTTCACTGGGAAGGCAGGAGCTCATCGCTCATTTTTAAAAAGATGACTGAGGTGGTGATGAAAGCTTTGGAGCTGCATCTCCCCTCTGCGTGCTCCCCGCTGACTCCAACCCTGCTTTCTGCAGCCTCTTGCAGGAAGCTCGCCAGCAGCTGAGCTGTGACCACCGGTGCAAGACAGAAGCATTGGAACTAGATCGCGTGTGTTTATCCCTCAGCGTGAACTCTCCCAACATCTCCTTCAAGGTCAACCCAGTGCGGGTCCCGGATGGGTAAGGAAAGAGCCTGACCATGTGTGGCCAAATCCGTGCTGGTGCTTGAAAGAGCCCTGGGGTGCTTTTTCCTTCTGTGTGCTATCCTGGCTTGATGAGTTAAGTTAGAGATTGCTTGAAACAGGAGTTGGCTGCTGGGATTTGTTGTGGCTCTTGAATTGTCGAGCCACGGACTTTGGGGAGTTATCCGAATAGTCACCGCAAAACCAGAGGAGCTAGCTGCCCTGCCTGCCTGGTGCTTGCCTGTAGGTGACACTCAGTACGTAGGGTGGTATCAGCCTTTGGCACAGCCGTTGGGGGAGTTGCTGCACATTTTCACTTGCTTGGTGTTTCATAGCCTGCTTTGGATGTGTCCCCGGTTTGAGCAGATGTTGGGCTCGGTGCGGGAGCCGCGGGGTAGCCATCTCCAGCTGGTGCAGTGAGGAGATCAGACAGGATGTGACCTCCGGAATTCCTGAATCACTTTGCACTGCACAAAGCCTTCTTGGCCTGCAGCAGGTGGTTCCTTTGAACTGTCTTGCAAACACTCAGCTTATTTTCCTGACTGCTGATGTGTTCACAGATCGACTACACTTGATGAGTGGGAACAGAATAGCCAACATAACAAGGAACATGCTGAGGCAGAAATGAAAGCCTCGACTAAGCTCCGAGAAGCAACAGTGCTTACCATTGCGCAGGTAAATGAGTCCCTCAGCTGTCAATCGGTGGTGCAGAAGTTCTGGATCCAGTGTGGGAGAGTGGGCTGGCGTGTGCTGTGGTGAGGGGAAGGGAGTCTTTGAAAAGACAGTGCCGGCCCAGGGGCGTCTCCAAGAGCAGCTGCTCTCCTGGTTTAAAAGGGGAGCTTGGTTACGCTGCGGAGCTTGCAGCAGTCTCAGCACCCTGGAAGACACCTGTCCATCCATCCTTCCCTTTTGGCTACAGGGGGGTGCATGACCTGCACACGCGTGGCAGCAGCCAGAACCCAGCTGGTTCTGCTCGCAGGCTTGTCCCAGCCTCACAGGAGGTCATCTCATCTGACGGTTGCGTTGGCAGCTGCCGTGGGAGGGGGACACCTCCTCAGTGTCTGTGACTGGAGCCTGTTCTCTCTTCAGACAAACAACGTGCTGGAGGCTCAGCGCGTAGCTACGGAGTTTGCCTTGCGCAAGAGGATAAGAGACCTGGAAAGAGCCTATGATGAGCTGAAATGGCAGGAGCAGAATGTAAATGTTGCTTCTTTGGTTATCGAACACGACCTTGGGTGGGAATTGAATACCAAAGGGTATTTGTTATGTTGAAAGCTACTTGGCCTGAGCCTGGTTTCCACATGAGAGCTGTTCAGCTGCACATGTTCGATCCCTGCAACATCCTACCTCCTTCTGCCACCACAGTGGCTGCTCTGGCATTTCCCAGCAGCAGTGCCAGGTTTTGGCCTTTCTGTTTCGCCCCTGGCCTCAACCGCTGTGGGCATAAAACACCAGCAGCACCACGCCTGGTCTGAGTGAAAAGACCAGTCTATGAGCAGAGGGGTTCAGCGCTTGGAAGCCCACCAGCCCCCCTGGTTTAAAATCTATTCCCAGCACTGGGAAAGCCCAGGACGGGTGGGGGACATTTTCCAGTCTGTATCCCTGGCAGTCCCTCATGATACATGTGTTTTATCCTAGACTTTGGAGGAAATTGCTGAGATGGAGGAGGACATCCGACGCTTGGAGGAAGATCTTAGAAGGAAAATGCAAGATCTGAAGGTGGCACACACCCGCCTGGAGACACGCACGTATCGGCCCAATATGGAGCTCTGCCGGGATCAGGTACCGGCCTCGCCCAGCACATTCCCTGCCAGGAGGGATGGGGGGAACTGACCAGGATGGGGGCTTGCGTGGGTCTGGAAAACCCACGGTGGGTGTGCTTTGGAGAAAACTAGAGAGGGGCTGAGCAGCGGATCCTAGAGTCACATAGCAAAGCGAGGAAGTAAATGTCACAGCTGGGCTAGAAGGGGAATGAGAGAAACATGGCCTTTGTTAAACAATGCTTCAGCCCTGGTAACTGCTGCCACCTTCTCCCTCCCCACTTCGCAGGTCCAGTACGGGCTCACAGATGAGGTCCACCAGCTGGAGGGAACGATCCGTGCGCTCAAACAGAAGCTGGCAGAGTCGCAGTAAGTCTCCTGCTCTGCGGGGCAGAGCCATGGCCCAGCATTGCCCATATGAGGGAGGTGTCTGTGTGCAGCCCTGGGCCTGGCGCCCATTCAGAAGCTGCATTTTTGGAGCTCGTGTCTGCTCAGATCAGGAGTGGAAATAGTCTTTGGGATGGCAGAGAGCTGGACTGGGCAGCGGGGTGCCAGCCAGGTACGAGAGGTGTGTGTGGTAGGAGGGTGAATGGTGCTCCCACGGTCCCTGCTTGACTCTGACTTCAACCAGACACAGACAGTTCTAAAAATGGCGGGGGGGAAGGGGTGAAAAGTAAAGGAAGAAACAGAAGTGCTGCTCCGGGCTGGCGTGGGCTCCCAGGGTGCACGTCTCTGCGCTGCGCTGCAGGAGCAGCATGTGGGCTTGCTGTTCATAGACCCACGCAGCGCTGCTGCCGTGCACCAAGAAATACCCAATGTGTTCGTTCTTTGTCCGAAGGCAAGCGCTGCGCAGATGGTTCTGCTGCCAGAAAGTGGGAAGTTGGGTGTTTCGTGTCCAACTTGGGAAGTGAATGCAGCGCTTGAACCCAACTCCTCTCGCTTCTGCTTGTTCCCAGGGATGCCTTGGACGCTCTTTACAGACAACTTCACCGCATTCAGACAGATATTGGCTACAAAGCCAATTCCCTGGTGCTGGACAACAAGTGCATGGACAGCCGGAGAAAGCTCGTGGTCCCTGCTGAGAAACCTGTCCCAGAGATTGACACTTTTAACCGGACCACGAACCGTGCGCTCTCCCCGCTGAAGAACGGGGAGTTGGCTTAGCGCGCCGGGGCGGGGGGCGGCGGGGGGAAAGCTACCAGTGACTCAGTTCCGCAGCGAGGAAAGCGGACATCTGTGTCGTGTTAGGATAATGTAATTCTCCTCCCTCCTCCTCCTCCTCGTTTGTTATATAACAGTCTGTCATCCCCCCTCGTACGAGGTTTGTGGCCTCTGGCACTCCGAGGAGCGTTCTAAACAATAAAAGAGTCTGTCCCCAGGAGCAGTCGTCCTCTGACGGTGCTGGAAGCGCTTCGTGGTGATCGAATCCCTCTGGGCTCTTTAGTGCTTTTAAAGCCCGTTAAAAAGTCGCAAGGCTGCGCTCTGAAAAGGGACTGCGTCGCGGCGGCAGCGTGCCCCATCGGCTCTACGCCTGTACAGACTCCAACCTCCTCGCTTTAATGATTAAAGTTGGGATTTCCCCTCGCCTGCTCGCCTGGCGGAGCGGACACGGCTAACGCAAGCAAGAGCCGGAGTCCGTGCCGGCTCTCGTGGCCACAGACTCGTTAAAATTGAATCGCGGCGCTTGCGTTCTGCCCTGACTTTATTGTTTCTATTCCGGGCAGGCTCCCAACGCGCTGCGCGTTCTCCTTGGGAGACGGCGTCCTCGCAAGCCGCTTTATTTGATGTGCAAACAGGATCAGAACTCCGGCCTCCTCTTCCTCCCCGAGGCGGGAGATGATGCTCAATGGAAAGCAGCCTGGATTTGCACTCCTGGCTCTCCGAAGACCTTCTGTTCATTGAGAGGGGGGGGAAAAAAAAAAAAATAATCATTTTCCCTTCCTCTAAGTAGGGAAATAAGGCACCAGGCTCCCCGTT